TGGACAAACCCAACTCCCTGTTCTCCGTACAATTGTTTGAGGAGCAACTGGCTTGATCTGGGTCTAAAACATTGGTAAAATGGGTATCAACTAGAACAGACAATAATATTATTGCACTTGAACAAAATTTTATTAAAAAATTATGAAATCATGACAACACAGGAAATAATTACATGCCTTCTCAATCGGTTGACCCGTCTTTCTTGCCAACTCTCCAAAAAGATAATCTCGAATGCGAAGAAGTTCATTTGCTTCATTTCTTACATCATCAGCCTGGTAGAGCAATTACAGAAATTTTTAGGGAAAAAGAGCATTCAAATATATAGAAATCAAACACTAAGTAGTCAATGATACAAACCTGACCCCGGGCTGCTCCTGCTGGGGATTGAAGAGCAATTCTACAAAGAGGCATGGCAACTCGGTTACCCTTGATTTAAAAAAAAAAAAAAAGAAAATTCAGTATTCCAACTATTTAGCACAATTTAAATCAAAAGCAGTAGGTGAGAGAGGAAATAAAAAAGAGATGCATAAAAATTACTCAATTTGCTGTTTTAAACAAACTTAAAACAGTCAAACCTTTTCTCCGGCAGCAAGAAGAAAGCCTGCCAAGTTATAGGCATAGCCAACACAGTTGGTGGCAACTGGACTTTTCAAACTTTGCATAGTGTCATATATGGCCATACTGGGAGTGAGCTGCAAAGCAGGTTTATATAAGACTAACATGGGAGCAATATGAAATTTAACATAATTTGGGGATTAAAAAGTGTTAACTTTAGTGCACAATATGAATATGTTAATCAATATCCTCACTTTGAAGCATAAAAAATATTTAATGTCTGCCACGCAAGACAAGATATTACTCGGTATTGAAGCTCAACAGACCCAAGAAATGCATGCATTTCAGAGTTTTGTTATTTTTCCCAAATAAAAATTTAGCAAAAGAAAGACTAAATCTCAAAATAATTTTGCAACTATTCGAGATGACCAATTTAGTCCTTGAGTACTGCATTTCTCAATTATGGCCTTCGACTACACAAAATTGATCCAAAATAGTTCATGTAAAAACTGTAATACAATAATGATATTAATTTACTCCCTCAATTATATAAAACTGATCAAAATTTAATACCAAAATGGTTATATTGTATCAATTTTATTGTCGGGGAACTTTGTGAGAAATATACGATCTATGACTAAATTATCCTCATGTGAATAGTCGAGATACAATTTTGGAGTTCAACCCTAAAATAAAAGCTAGGGTAAATGGAAGCTTTTTACTATCACCAATTTGTTATTCATGCTAAAAACATAAGATCATGACACAATTATTGACCACATTTTGGTCGAGAAATCTCCTCACCACTTCCTCCATCTAGGCCTAGATTCTTCCTTAGCGCCCTTCGGTGGTTGATCATGACTTGGCTTGGGATCTGGGTTACCTTGAATGGATTTTGACTTGGCTTAAATTAAGTTACGTACGTACGTACATATGTACGGACAGACACAAACACTCATACATACATACATATATAAATTGGAGGCTCATATAATAGCCTTTGGTCATTCATTTAATATTATTTATTTATATATATATATATGTGTGTGTGTGTGTGTGTGTGTTTGTGTGTGTTGAAAAGGTTTATATGAAAAGTTGCTTATTGAAAATATATATATATATATATATATAATCTTTCACAGACTAAACAAGCCATAAAGTATAAGTTAAGACAAAATTCAACCTTACACTAAAGAAAACTAAAGAAAAAAAGAGGGAGACCAATATCCATATAAGCCAACCCAGACCAAGTCCAAGCCAACTCAACCTTAGAACCACTCTAGGCATGTAGAGACTCTCCATTGATTGAACTAGCCTCCACATAGCTTGCCACCTCCTCCTATGGCCAAACATAGCCCCTAAATTGATTCCATGGATCAACTTCCTGAAATGGCTCAACAAACTCCCTTGCTTAGCTATCTATGCTTTTCCCTAATAGGTTGATCATCTCCTGAGTTGCTTCCCACATCCCTGATCCTCCCTAGTTCCTCCCTAAACCCAGCGAAAAAGAGAGCTGAACTTGGACCAAAAAGAGGCACAACCCGACTCACTCCATCCATCTTCCCACTCCCTTGTTGCTGCTTAGAGCTCGAGGCTCCAAGGGGCAATGGAAATTGACTCCCCCACCATCAGATTGGCCTTCTCTAGAGGGCTAAGATGGTATTTCGACCGCCGCATGGTGACTGAAACTTTAAGGTTGGAGAAAATCAAAATTCAAGGAAAAAAGGAATAATTCAGTATTCTTCTTCCTAAGAGCTTCCTTGAGTCCTAAGGAACTTGCCATAATCATTTTCACCTCTCAACGTCCTTCGGTGAGCTCTATATATCAATTCTGGAATTGATTCTGGCAGCGTTATTCCGCGAAGCAAATGGAGGCTTCTCAACCTTTTTCTTCTTAAAAGAAAGTAGTTCCTCAACCATTTTCGTCTTAAAAAAAGTTGTTCGCAAAGCTCTCCCGAAGCTTCAGGCCCAGTCAATTTGAGGATTCATTCCCACACTAAAGGTAATTCATTCTTCTTCCATCAAGTATTTTCGGTCATTAAAATTTAGAGGGACTTGTCATAGGGTAAAGGATCACATTTTTAGGCAAGTACCCTGCGCCCCCTCCCTGCTGACCATTTCAATCGATTCCAATCAAACTCCGGCCACCGGATCGGCTAGGTTGCGACAAATCATGAGGGATGCCTCCCTCTTGCATTTGGAGGACGTAATCAAAGTCGTCCATTTCCTCTAATTGGAATGAATGGTCTGGCTTTGATTAAATCACACTAGATAATACTTAGAACCTGAGCCCCATGAGATGTACTGTGAAGCCAATCAGAGGTAGGCACATGTAAAGTCGGCTGATGTGGCAACCAAGAGTAAATAGACTTATTACCCTATTTAATGATTGAAACTACCTCCTCCTATGGCCAAACATAGCCCCTAAATTGATTCCATGGATCAACTTCCTGAAATGGCTCAACAAACTCCCTTGCTTAGCTATCTATGCTTTTCCCTAATAGGTTGATCATCTCCTGAGTTGCTTCCCACATCCCTGATCCTCCCTAGTTCCTCCCTAAACCCAGCGAAAAAGAGAGCTGAACTTGGACCAAAAAGAGGCACAACCCGACTCACTCCATCCATCTTCCCACTCCCTTGTTGCTGCTTAGAGCTCGAGGCTCCAAGGGGCAATGGAAATTGACTCCCCCACCATCAGATTGGCCTTCTCTAGAGGGCTAAGATGGTATTTCGACCGCCGCATGGTGACTGAAACTTTAAGGTTGGAGAAAATCAAAATTCAAGGAAAAAAGGAATAATTCAGTATTCTTCTTCCTAAGAGCTTCCTTGAGTCCTAAGGAACTTGCCATAATCATTTTCACCTCTCAACGTCCTTCGGTGAGCTCTATATATCAATTCTGGAATTGATTCTGGCAGCGTTATTCCGCGAAGCAAATGGAGGCTTCTCAACCTTTTTCTTCTTAAAAGAAAGTAGTTCCTCAACCATTTTCGTCTTAAAAAAAGTTGTTCGCAAAGCTCTCCCGAAGCTTCAGGCCCAGTCAATTTGAGGATTCATTCCCACACTAAAGGTAATTCATTCTTCTTCCATCAAGTATTTTCGGTCATTAAAATTTAGAGGGACTTGTCATAGGGTAAAGGATCACATTTTTAGGCAAGTACCCTGCGCCCCCTCCCTGCTGACCATTTCAATCGATTCCAATCAAACTCCGGCCACCGGATCGGCTAGGTTGCGACAAATCATGAGGGATGCCTCCCTCTTGCATTTGGAGGACGTAATCAAAGTCGTCCATTTCCTCTGATTGGAATGAATGGTCTGGCTTTGATTAAATCACACTAGATAATACATAGAACCTGGGCCCCATGAGATGTACTGTGAAGCCAATCAGAGGTCGACACATGTAAAAGTCGGCTGATGTGGCAACGAGGAGTAAATCGATTTATTATCCTATTTAATGATTGAAACTTAAAAAAAAGCATATAAAATTAAAAAAAACTTAAAAAATATATATATAGATAAAGAAAATGTCGTCGCAGTGAGCTCTTCCAAAGAAAAATAAAAATCCTAAATTATATAATGTAATTTGAGATCAATTTGACAAATAATCAAAACCATAAATCCCTAATTAAAAATTCATTTGAAAAAGTTATGACCCAAAATTTTTGTGGGAGGTTCCTTAGATTTAGAGAGATCTCACGGAATTTTGTTGGACTTTTTTGGGATCATTTTCGGTGTTTTCTTCAAATTTATCATAGAACCTTAACTAAAGAGAATAATTAATTGATTTTAATTACCTAAGCCAAAATCAAATTATTTAAACACAAAAATATGTTGATCTTAACCGTAATTAAACTTCTTAAAGCTTATATAGGATATTTAGGGATAATTTTATTAGATGGAGATAGTTTGGGGTTTAAGTTAATTAATTTAAGATTATCAATTGACCTATTTATTAATTAACCTTAAAACTAAACTTAACCGTTTTGGATAAACACTTTATTTTGTTATACTCCTCCCATTTAAGATTTTAAAGTCAGAAAGTAACAAAGATATATTTAAGACTTTATTAATATTTAAGTAAATATTAAAGGCTAAATATTAATTTCAATTAAAAAAATTCACTTTTAAATTACCTGAACTTAGGAATTAATCTAATTCAACAAATTTATAAAAATCATAACCATAGATATAGTAATGTAAACAGAGGATAAAATTATAATAATGTGAAAAAAATATTTTTATCAATTAAACTATTTTATGTATTTTGCAAACCTAAAAATTAAACAGTGTCAAATAAATCATAACTTAATACTTATAATATAAAAATTCTTGAAATTTTCACAAAAAGCTTAAGATAATTATCTTTTCTTAATCAACTAATCGATTTTTATATTTTTTTCTAGAATTATTTTAATTTTAGGTAATTAAAAGCCAATCCATTAAATAATTAACTAATCAATAAAAAAGGAGGAAATGTAATTTAGAATGATCCATAATCCACTAAAATTATCACTCTAATCTTAAACAAGATTCAAAGACAATCTAGTGAAATTTTAAGACTCGTTTGGGATGGTTTAACTTTAATTAACTTTAATAGCTCAAGTAACTCTAACTTGAAGAATCCTAGCACAATCCCCTAATCATTATAATCTTTTAAAATTAACCTTAAGTTTTTATCAGATGGAATTTTGGGAGATTGAACTTCCTACCCTTCACTTAGAACTTTATAACACTCCTTTAGAACCTTAAGTATATGACTTAAGATTTTAATCAATTTGAACCTATGCCAAATAAAATTGGAAAAAAAAATTAAGAATCAATCAAACGCTTAAACAACAAAACTTAAGTGAAGAATGCATAATAAAGTTATTTATAGATATCCAGGGTGGTGCATTTCATTTTCAAAAATTGAGATGCTCCTTCTCTCTAGGATTAAGGAGTTGTGAATAGTGGGACCCCCGGCTAGGTGGGTCCCACACTTCACGACACTCTTTAAAAAAATTGAAGTAACAACAAAATCTAACTAAAAGGCTAAAATCGAATTAAATTGCATAATATGTAAGTCATTTGAATTTTAACACCCGATTGCAATAAATTAATTTTCAACGTGAGTTACAACCTTAACATAAAGGCTAGTGT